TCAGCCGCCTGCTGCTCCAGAAGGGACGGACCCAGCCGGGTCAGCACTGGCCAGGAAAGGGGGCATGCGGCTGAAGCCCCACGCGCTGCTGGGGTCAGGAGGAGCCCGGCCGGTCTGCATCAGCCAGCAGAAGCGGCGGCGGAGCAGCGCGCGCTCGGGACGGGACGAGCCCGGCCGCAGCGGCAGGGACCCAGCTGCATTTCCGCCCGCCTGCACCGGTCAGTCCCGAGCGGCACACACCTCCGCCTCTGCCGGCCGGTGACTACCTGGCTGGGCTCCTCCCATCCCCAACAGCACGTGGGAATCTGGCTTCGGCTGCGTGCGGTTCCCAGGAGAGAGCTGGATGCCGGGGGCGAGGGGCGGAGCCAGAGGAGAAGCAGCGGGCGCTGTCCCCAGCTCATCCCGTCCGGCGCGGCTGGGGCAGCCCCGCACCGTGCAACCCTCGGGGCAGCGGCCCCGGCTCACGTGATAAGCCCAGCCCCAGGGGGTAAGCAGCTCCCCTCCCCTCGCTGCCGGCTGGGACCCGCGGGCCGGCCCTGCCTGCCTGCCTGCCTCGCCTCGCCGCTGTAGTGGAGCAGACGCCAGGACTCCTCGCCTGTCCTGAGTGAGGGACCTGGGGCCAGAGAAAACAGCTTGGCGGGCCTCATGGCAGCCCGCGGACCATATGTTAGACAAGCCTGTCTTATACTATGTACACAGGTAGTATCCGGGTGCTCAAAGTTCATAATGTCAGAGGGAGGAAAACAAACAAACACACTTCACCGCTGATGTCCTTCCTTAAACTATAGGCTCACCGGAGACGGACCATTCTTCTTGCCTATGAGCTCAAATAAGAATTCAGTTAAAATCTTTGGTCAGCTTCACTGTCTGGTTCTCCCACTCTACCAGGTACTGTTTGGTATTTTATGTATAGGACTACTGATCTAAATTATACAGAGGGCTTTAAAAATATAAAAAACAGGAACAAGGTCCCTGCCCTGAACAGCTTAAAAAGACTCCCTACTTTGAACAGTTTATGCAGTACAATTTTCTGTGCCTAGCCCTTAAAAGACACTTAAAATGGATTATTGAAAAAAAAGTAAAAAAAAAAATGCATGAAAATTCCTCCTATACATAACATATTTTAGAGAGATCACTTTTCATATTTTTAATGTTGGAAGGGCTCTCAAGAGCATCCAAGTCCAACCTTCTGCACAGATGCAGGATTCAGTACTGTTAACCAATTCCAACAGTAAAGGAGACTTCCCTAGTGTGAACTCTGGGGCCTTATGGGTAGCACAGCCTGTTGGGTATGTAGCCCCTCCCCTCAACTTGCCTGCCATGACTCTGATGTTAAGCTATCTGGAAAGGGAGTTCAGTGGAGATCTTCTTGGGGGGGGGCTTACCAACCATGGCAGTACTCACGATTGTTCGGCATGATGTTCCACGGGGCTCCGCCTTCCCTACACCCCATCCACTCGCCAACTGGATAGGTGATTGTGCAATGGTGGTCTCAGTCCCGTGGGTTTGCCCGATGCCTGCTTCAGGTGGGGGGGACCCACGTCCGAGCGGGCTCCGTCGGCTCTGGTCCATTCGACCTTGCTGCCCCAATCTCCCTCTCTCTCTTTAATTTTCCTTTTTTTGGTTTTTTTCTTTCAAAAGCTATATTCTTCTGAGGAGAAGGGGGCTGTGGAGCTGCCTCCTTTACCCCAGGCTCCTCTAGGGGGCTCTAATGCCTCCTCTGCCCTACTCCCTATCGGGAGCTTCAGTGCTTCCTTAAGTCTGCCTTACATGGGGAACCCTCTCCAGTTTCTTCACATTCTTCACAAAGTGGGATGGCTAAACTAGGCAATACTCCAAATATGAACAAAATCTGTATTTTGTCCTATAAATATTCTGTCTTTGAACAAAGTAATGTGACTCCAAGGAGATTGTTCTCCAGCTCCCTAACCCCATTCAGAATCCACAATATATTTTTGCACCTCCAGAATTCTCCTAATCCCAGTCCCTCCCCCAAATACAAAAGTTAAGACCAAGCAAACTTTTCCAAAAATATCACATACATATCTAAATGTGTATTCTGCCCACTCTTGATACTATTTATTTTCTGCGCTGAGGCTTCTGCAACTTCTCCAGTCTTCTGGTCTCAAGAAATCATGAGGTTTTTTTAAGATCCCTCCAGGGACCCCACCATCCCCCAGCTACCTACTTCCAAGTTCCCATCATAAACTCCTCTGGCTGTGAGGTTTGGTATCCAAGATTTGTATTTGGACCACATATTTTGGTTCATGAGGAACATTTTTATAATGACCTTTTGTGATGATGAAACATACATGATTGATAGTTGTAAGATTTAATTTCTGTATGTATTTGACAGGAGTCAAGAGTGCCATGCCGCCCAATCAATGTGACCCAATACCAACCTGGAGATACCACTGCTAGAAATAGAATCTCAGTAAATTTTCATACTTTCTAATGTAAATATCCACCCATTCCTACAGGCAGTCCTAACCAAGAGGTACACCAGTGAAGACACTTCAGATCCGTCTCCGTTGGCTGTTCTTGAGAGCTCATTCTCATGTATAAGAGACAGTGTAGAGTGCTCATGGGTGCAAATGGGCAGGATGAGCTAAGGAAGAGCCCAGTCAGGACAGGCTACTACTGTGGTGTAGACAACCCCACAGACCTCCTGAATAACACAGGACAACATTTCTGAGCGTGCATCCACCATACCCTGCCTAGCTTTTATAAACTTCAGGTTTTTTAGACCTCTGGATATCCAGGGGTCTAATTTTCTCTGTGCACTGCAAGTTTGCAGTGTAGGGAATATTTTTTTCATTCCTGCACATGCCTCTTGCTCGTCTGGACACACCCTGACAGTAGTTTCTGCATCAAACCCATAACTCATCTAAGCTTTTATAGCAAACCTTTTAGAAAGGCATCCAGTCTCGATTTAAAGACTTCATGGTGATGGACTATCCATCACGTCAGTATGGAGTAGTCTACTGGTTAGAGTACAACAGGTATTTTGTATTCCAGACCGAGTTTCAATGTCAGAAATAAAAGTTAGTTTTCAATATCAGCTTCTTCCGTGATCCTGAAATGGTCTTAATTTTAATCTTCCTTAAAGAGATGTGGTGTGGCTTAATTAGGTATTCAGAAAATACTTGGATAATCCTACAATGAAAAATGCTAGAAGACTTTATATAATTTTCACTGCCTTTTATTACAGAATGGAGCAACAACATTCAATTTGTAAAAGATTGTCAGCATAAAACCTGATAAAGTAGTCTAAGATTTTTGGTGTGTGTATATGTATATACATAAAAAAGCTATACTTTTCAACTCTTCTGATATACGAATATGGGATTCTGATAGCAAGTTAAAGACTAATCAACATGTGCACTGAGTTATTGTAACTAATTTTCTTTTTTTGAACTGATTAAAAAAATTTGCATTTAGGGGAGCACCAATGGAGTTCTTGGGGGCCGATACCAATAGCCAATTTTTAAGGAGGTATATCAGCTGATATGGATATCGGACTGATGTATCAGTGCAGCTCTATTTGCATTATATTCTTCTGGTGTTATTTTGCTTCTAAGCTAACAGCCAGCTGTTTCACTATTATATCCTCTTCTTTTGGATTGTTTCACCATTCAGCTTTCCAGACTGTCCAGTTTTCACTTCTGCATGTGGAAAGTTCCAGTCAGTTGGACTGACAACATGCATCGTCCTTTTATACATCAAGTAAGGGTTAAAAATAATTGACACAGAAACTAATCCCAGGAATAAGACAATAAAATACAGAAGTCCAAGGTTTTCCACCACATCATTCCAATTGGAAATACACACCCACCACATGTGATAAGTAAGCATCATACGGCAGTGAAACAGATGGATCACTAGCCACTCATTTGCCTTCCAGAAAATGGTATGAGAATAGCCAGCCTGGAAAACACAGAGACAAGAAATGAGATTGCTGCTTCAAGACAACAATGCACATGGTCTTCATAAAGCAGAAGCAGGGGTGTAATTACCAGCGTCTGTGCCCTAGGTGGCAGAAGCAACAGCAGCGGCTGGGGTGGCAGTGGCAACAGATAAGTTCCTGTGACTGTTCTAATGGAAAATGCTAAAGTAGTAAATAGAACATAATCCTAACACAGGATACCCCTTAACTGCTAGGCTAGATAGTGGTTATCATACTTGAGCATGCTCTGTCTTTTAGCTCCCCTGAACCATGCCCTATCTTTTCACAGTGAGTCAACAGGAGGGGTGGAAAGTGTTTGAACTCCCTCAGGCTGTGGACAGTCTAGAATATAAATCTTCCACTTCCTGGGCATGTCCTCTAATCACCAGGTTATGATACAAACGGGAATTACTTCCTCCTCTTTCAGCAGGTTCATTTTACAGCCTCATTTTTCAAATTAAAAATAGAGCAAAAGGTCTGAAGAGAAACATTATATATAAAGCCTTAAAATATGTATCATTATTAATATAGGTTCAGATTAAGAATGTTAGTAGTAACAGTAGTAACTGACATCACTAAATGTACTACAGTTTTCCTATAGTAGATATATTTGTGTTATGTTTGTTGGAGGAGTTGTAAAAATAAAGAGAAAACTGTAAAACAAGGTGAAAAGAAACAGAGGTGACAAGCAAGAGGCCAAAATGGTGAAGGGAGATAAGAAAACTCATTTACTAAAAGCTGTAATTTTCCCAAGGACATAAATCCAATTCCCATGTCTCAGTGAAACAAAGAAATTTAAATCAAATCAGAAAAAGTTTACTAGAGCAACCCATGTATAAATATGTGGAATGGACTGGAGATAAACTTGAAGAACTCAGTAAATCCAAGACAGCCTACTGCCGGGCTACATGCCAAACTCCTCTCCCCAGGCAGTTTACGTGAAAATCCATCTTGCACAATCACAGGTAGCCAGATAGACAATGGGATAACCATTTATTCTAATGCTTTAGCATGTAAAGTGCATGTGATCAGACTGTAGACCTTTTGCCTCTTGTCAGTAGACAACCTACCAAACACTTACAATGCAGGTAATAACTATGGCTCATAATTCCAATTAAGGACCTGCATAGAAGTAGAGCTGTGAAGGCCTGGAGAAAAAAAAAAGACCTTTTGGGGAAAAAAACCTTTTTTCTTCCATTTTTTCCCCGGAGGGCATTTTTTGTTTTCCAAAAAATTGAAAAAATGTCAAGTTTTTGGAAAAATTTAAAAAACCTCTTATGAAATGTTTTCTTTTAAAATGATGAATAAAATGTTTAAGACAAGGTGTTCATGTATTGCTACCCTTGGAGTTGGAGGGAACCTCCCTCCTCCTGGCCCTGTGATCTTGAGATCCACAGAAGTACAGAAGCAGCACAAAGGAGCTAAAAGAAAGTATACTTCTTTATTGAAAGGTAAGGATTTAAATTTCTCTGAATTCAGTATATTAAACTATATTTTTAGCTGCGTTAGTATATTTTCATAACCTATGTAATTCATAATTGAATTCCTATTAATCTGTTTTGTGACAAATCACCCAACCTTAGCAGTGAGGGGAGGCCTGTGGGGCAGGAAAGCTGTTCACAGTTAACTCTGAGGAGGCCTCTCCTCCATCCATTATAAATGTGTACATGCTGTAACTCAGTGTTTATATACACAAGCTAGCCACTAAATTACATGCATCTTTTTCTCCCTCAGCAAAATTGTGTAACCAACTTCTAGCATATGGAAGCATCTCCACACTGCAAGTTATTCTGAGAAAAAAAATATGACTTGCAAATACTGTCAAATGAAATGTGTGTTTCCAAATTCTACTAGGGTGACCAAACACATCCTTTTATGTAAGGAATGTCCTGCAGACATTAAAAAAATCCTTCATGGCTGTAAGTGAGGAGGAGGTAGATCATGATGATGGAAGTGCAAGTAGCTCTTTCCAACATTCTTGATCCAGAAGTCCTCCTACTGCTGCTGCTGTACCTTCTTCTATAACACCAGCATCACAAAGGTGGCCCAATCAACAGCCTCAAGTAACCAAATATTGCAACCAACTGTATACAAAAGACTCCCAATAGCTTCATTTGTAGACAAGATGACACCTGAAAATAATTGACCATGCTGCTGCAAATCTCTTGGATCCAAGATTCAAAGGCAGAAATGTTAGTGATCTGACTGGATTACAAAACAAGCAACACACTTAGGACTTGATGTTGGAAAGGTATTTTCAAATGTTGCAGATTACAGAACATCTTCAGGTATTTGGTCCAGAAGTGCAGTCTGGAATTCTGCCAAGCATATCTGTCCTGCAAAAGGGTGGCAAGGCCTTTGCACGAAACCGCCTCTGACTCTTCTTGCTTCTTGCCTGCTTCAGATTCCTCCATCTTCTGCAGCATGTGAAAGAAACTGGTCTATGTTTGGGAATACTCACACCAAATTAAGAAATAAACTAACATGTGAAAGAGTAGAGAAGCTTGTCTCAATCTGGGAAAATCTTCAGTTTTCAGAAGTCCATTAAGATGATAAAAATGAAGGATCAGAAGAATCAGAAACTGCTGATAGTGGTAGCTCAGAAAATGGGACTGATTAGATAAAGTTTCATGTAGCAAATTTTTATCAATGAGTCTTGGAGTTCTTTTTCCCTTTTCTCAGCTTTTTCTCTAAAAATCAGTGCTTTCTGTATCTGCTTAACACTGTGGAGGAGACTAAGTTCCGAATACACATTAACTTTCTCTGTTTTACTATAATGTTGACACTTTTTTACCTTTTCAACTTTAATTTTTTCCTGCCTCTCCTAAACTGGCAAAAACTAAGAGTTCCTTAGAGTTCAGCAGCCTGTAGCTCCATTTGTAACAAAAATTAAAAACATTTTAAAGTAAATTCAATTAGTAAATTTGTAATTACTGTCTGAATAAACTATACTTCTAAATTTAATAAATATACCAAACACAATAATTTTATGAGCAAACCAAGTTATACATAATACATTTTATGTTCTTAAAGTAGCGAAGTGAATTTATATCTGCAAAGGGTGGTAAGAAAATAAGTATTGGATATATTTCAATTTTTCCAAAAAAATTTGGGAAAAAATGGCTTCAACATTTCTGGAAATTTTACATCTCTACCTAGAACTAGCCACTTAAAAGTGAGCTTTTGGAATTGCCACTCTGAGGCACCTCTCTCTCTTCACGCATTGCAAAGGAAATCGGGACACCTAACTCCAGATTCTGGATTTAACTCCAGCAGCCTGGTGCCTGCAAATTACGTATTGTAGTGCCTTACTTGCAGGGATTTAATACTTGCTGACTTTGGCCCTATTAAACTACTTTTCAGAGACTTAAATTCAATATGGTTTGATTCACTTCCAATTTCAAAGAAAAACTCTCTCTCAATCCTAGAAGTAATCTTCCGATTTGGAGGCTAGTATTTCTTTGCTTGTGGATTTGTATAAGGGGAACAGGCAACATCTGGATTACAAGGGCAACTTCTATTTTAACTAATGAACACAAGGGAATGATCAAATCTTACCTTTAAAAGCAGCCAGGAGATGCAGGTGGTCGGAGTACTCATCTCAAGTAGCATGCCCATCAAGGGTAGGTAGTGTCCAGACTTGGTGTTAAGTATCAGACCAAGCAAGCCAACAAAAGCAAGGAAATGATGCACTACTACAAATACACCAAATGTCTTGAAAATCAAGTTAGATAGATGAACAACTACATTTTCAAGCAAGAAGAATCCAGACGCTATTAAACAGGTAAACCAGCTCCATTTCTGCTGTGAATATACTTTGTCAGCTTGAAAAACGGGATCTATGAGTAAGGCCCACAAGCCAGAAACCCAACTTTGAAGTCCAAAAACACCACGTGTGACTTTTATGTTCCAGAAGACTTTCTCCTTTGATGAAAAGTTACGGTAAGTGACACTGATCCAGGAGGACAACAAGTGTGACAAAAGAAACACTCCTAAGTAGAGGAAAAAGCCAGCTGCTACTAAAAATAAACGAACTTCCCAGAGAAGATAATCCCAATCAAACATAGTGCTGGGCATTGCATCTTCATTTGCAAGATCCATTTCTTCTCTCTGCAACTCAAAAGTCTTCAGTGAGAAGCTTTAAGAACCCACAAGTGTGCTGATCTATTTTAGGTCCACGTAGCCTGTCTCATTACATAGAGCAGAAACCACACGCTCTTCTTGTCTATGATTTAAAAAAACACACAACATTGGTAAATAATGTATGTACCTTATGGCAGGCTCAGCGGTTTCAGGAAAGTTAAGAATACTATTTCCATGAATATTGCATAAACCATAAAGAAACTGCTTTCTTGAAGATAATTAGCTAAATATATAAAGAAGAAGAAGGTGTGGCATTAAGAGAGAAACCCTATTTTCTTACTTGCAGAACTTGGATGAACACAAGATCTTGCAATGTACAAGGTCTACTGCGATAACATCTTGTTCAGAGCAGAAACAGGAGGCAGGCAAGGGCACCTACGGCTGTCTTCCCCAGACAGCAGTCCCCTGGGCACCTCCTCTGCTGGGTTATAGAAAATGAGGGTTGGGAGGGACCTCAGTTGGTCAGATCTAATCCAACCCCCTGCTCAAAGCAGGACCAGCCCCACTAGCTTATCCAAGCCAAGGCTTTGTCCTTCACCTATCTATAATGTAACATTCTTCCAGTTCTTTTTCCTTACAATTCTTTCCCGTTACTGCTAAACATGTAACACACTGCAATCTTTTCTGTCCCCAGCTGCTGCTTCCTGCCCTTGGACATGGGAATAGTGTGCAGGGAGATGTGCAGGGAGGATCTAAGCTGTGCAGGTGCAGAGTGCAGTGGCAGAAGGGGTGCCCACATGGGCGTGTGTGCAGTGGTGGAGGAGGCAAAGGAAGGGATGGGATGAGGAACTGCCTATGCAGTACAGCAGTGGGGGCAAGGGTGCCTGTGTGGGATGCACTGCAGTGACAAGGGCATCTGCGTGGCAAATGGATCAGGCACCTGTAGCTCACCCTTGTGCATAAGCAGTATGTGGCCCTTGCGGGTGCATGCTGTGGTTTGCGCAGCATGTGACCACTTTGAAGTAGAACATCTTAAAAGATATGACATGTTCACGCTACAGACACTTCATCCATGTCCTAGCAACGTGAGAGAACCTCTCTAAGAAAACAGTATAAAGTAGTCTCAGCATCAACAACTAAGCTCTGCACTTAATATATTCATCTACATACACATCCAGAAAATAAAACTAGGCTTAGAAATCATTTGTGTTACAAGTTTAACATCAAGTGCAATAAAGAAGCTCAAAGCTACCAGAGATGTGGGTTTTCTTGAAAATTTTCCAATGCCCCAAATAAAGCATGATCTGATTTAGCATGTTTATTTCACCTATATTTAGTAAACAAAACTAAAAAAGTACCCCCATGTTAATTTTATGTCCTAACAGACAAAAGTATTTGAACTGAAGTATTTGATTAGGAACAAAATTGAATACAGCACACTTAATGTGGTTTAAATGTTATATCCGAACAAATTCAAAGTTTTATGTGGAAAGAAATTATTTTTATTGTAATACTTGTAAAAACATAAAGAGAATACACAACAGCATGTACTTCCCTTACATTGTTTGTTTAAATTTAAGAAGAAAACCCAAGGCACTGAAAACTGTTGACACACCAATTTTAGCACACCCAAAGAACTGTGTACGATATGCCATGGTTGTCCACTCATCTACTTCAACAGTTTAACTCCCTTTCACTGCAGTCATTGCAGCACCTCCAGTTTCACTGTCACTATCTGTAGAATCACTCACACTTATTAATTCCATTTCACAATCAGACTGAGGCAAATCTCATTCAAAACTACTTGAACCACATTCTCTTTCGCTAAAAGATGGTTTTACCAATGAGTCTATGGGCAAGAGTCTACTCATCACACTGCATCTTCTTCACAAATTGTGCTTCTGACTGATTCTCTAGAAGCAAGAGATTTTGAGCAACAGAAACAAGCTCAGCAGTGTATTCATTTGTTAGTCTATTCCTCTTTTTTGTCTTGATTGAGCTGAAAGCCTTCCAGTTCTGTTCACAAGAAACTGCTGTTGGTGGACTGCTTAGGATCCTTAGAGCACACCTGGACAACAGTCAGGTGTTACAGTATCTCTTCCACCTTAGGAGAGAAGACATATTCTCTGCTGCCTGCCAAATGATGTGTCTGCTCCCAAGATTTTCTTTTGTACGGTACTCAGCAACGTCTGTCAACACAGCTATTTTGTCGATGTTGGGGATGTTCTTAGTTATTTCCATAATTGTATCGAGAGCAGTAGATAATTCATCTTCTTATAAATGTTGTTCTCCATGTTGAGGATCCAAAAGTTTTGCTGCCAGATGAACTGGATGAGAGCAAAACTCAGATCTCTTAGTAAACTTTTACTTCTTTTTTGGATAGAGGTAAAGAAGGTAACAGCTCAATCAGATTTTCATTCAGTTGTCTGAATATCTCTGGAACCTTTGAAAGGCTTTGTGTATCTCCTTCAAGTTTCTTGATAGCCACTGAAACTGGTACCCAGCAAACTGAATGTTCCTTGAACTCAAACTCAGTAATTTGGCTATGAGTGAAGAGATAGCAAGTGCAGGCCCCTCCAGGGTACAAGCCCTCGTATCTGATAATGCGAGTAACATGAAAGTTGCATGGCAAATATTAAAGGCAAAGTATCCTCATTTAATGTATCTGGCTGTCTTGCTCATGGGTTGAATCTTCTGACAAAAGACATAGCCTGCATACACCTGTATGATGAGAAGATTTGGTAGCAATTGCTTTCAGGAATATTGGCTTAGATGTTGCTAACATAAAGTTCAATAAAGGATTTCCTTGTATATCAGTCCATCCATCTGACATCAGAGTCAGTGATTCTGCTTGGCCAATCCTTTGAAATAACCATTGTTTGAACTCAGTCATACTCTCTATCCAAGACAGAATGTGATAAGCAATAATGTGGTGGTAACTTATATGATGGGTGAATTAGTTTCTAGTGTTCCTTCCACTATTGATTTTCCGTTATGGAAAGAGGTATACCACTTGCAAATATAGCTCAAGCTAATGTCTCCTCTGCTTTTTCTTGATGTTCTTTTGACATTTTGTCCACAAAGCTTGATACAAAGCTTGACTATCTTGAACAGCTACTCATGGTGGATTGCACATCTGGTGACAGTGATCTTGAAAGCAAGGATCCTGCTTCTTCTTCTCCCAGACCTGGCAGCTCAACATTTTCATTTTCCATTTTTTGCAAATCTACTATTTCACTTGAGCTACCAAGTTCCAGCAACAAAAGGGGGAAAAAAATATTTTAGCCTATTCTGATCTGGCCTTATCTATCAGAAGGAGGAGAAGTGGCAGGGAGCTTGCTTCCCCCCCTCCCTGCCAGAAAGAACACTGCTGCTCATCTTGCTGCTCAGTTGCCCTGGGACCGCAGAGCCAGAGAGAAATATAGTCTGGCCTCTGCCATCGGCTAGAGGACTAAGCTCACTTGGCTGGGTTGAAATAGGTAACTATTTATCAATTATGTAATTTTTTTAAAAATTATTGTTAAACGTAAGCTACTTTGGGTGCTTAGTGCAAGCAGAAAAGCAGGATACAAATATTTTAAATAAATAATAGCCCACAGTTGCATCAACAACTTTTAAAAGTATAATGTTTTAAAACAATATAGATGTTAGTCTATATTTATGTTGTTTAACATATTAATTTGTTTACTTACACAGGATTCCTAAAGTAGACTTTTCTCAGATGATGTTTTTCCACCACTTCGTTGTGCTTTCTGTATGTGGCTTATACTCTTTCAGGCCAGTTTCTACATGTTATTAAATGTTTCTTCATTTTTGTTACATTGTTAGCATATTCCTGCCCGCAATATTTACATCTACCAACTTCCTTCCTTCAGTGGCTTGAACTTCACTGTAATTATGCCACACACCAATTGTTGTTTTTTTGATTAGGCATTATTATGACTACTTCAGACCAAAAGCACTAAAAACTAACAGATCTTATGCAAACACTTCCAACTTCCCCAACTCAAGAAAAGAAATGAGACACTGCTCTGTATGTTTGCTGAACTGAAAAAGAAATAAAAATTAATCACAGTTTTGGTTCTACTTTCACTTGCAGTCTGAGATGAAATAAGAATTTTAGCTTTGGTTTTTATTTGACCTGCACAGCCAATTAGGTGAATTCATAACTTGATTTTTGGCTTGGATTATTATGTGAGTGTATTTACTCTCCTGTTTACAAATCAATAAAACATAGAGGTACTCTTTCTCACACACTTCCTAAAGATAATCACCTGAAAAACATTAATTACAACTTTGAAACTGCCCAGCTTGCCTAATATTGTATTGGCATCCATTCATTGTTACTAATGATTTTTATGAAACAATGAATTTTTTAAAATGGAAAATTTAGCACAGAAAATAAGGCACTGGAAAATTTTCTGCCCCACATCTCTGGGTGTAGGGTGGTCCAAGAAGCATTTCCATCTCTAATCCCAGCCCCAAAACTGTTCCTTATTCAAGTCATTATATTTAGTACAGTAGCTTGTGGGGCTTTCAGCTGGCAGCCTGGCAAGGCCTAACTGCACTTTGGGCCAGGAAAGACTGAGGTCAAAGATGTCCAGGAGAGTACCCCAGTGCCACAGAGGCATGACATGGAATGGTCCAACCTGGATTTCCAGACATAATCTGAACCCAAGAGCCAGTTCCTTATTTGAGCCATTATACTTAGTACAGTGGGTATGGGGGGCTGTCAGTTGGCAGGCTGGCACAAAAAAAAACGCATTTTAGGTCAGGTGAAACTCTGGTCAGGTATGTCCAAGAGAGTCCCCTGGTGCCACAGAGTCGTGGTGTGGGGTGGCCCAAAATAGATTTCCTTCCATAATCCCAGCCCAAAGGCTAATTCCTTATTTGAGCCCATATACTCAGTACAGTGGGAAGCAGGAGAGGAGGGGCTGGCAGCTGGCAGCCTGGCATGGCCAAGCCATACTTTGGGCCAGGCGAGACTATCTAGTCAGAGGTGTTCAGGAGAGTCCCCTGGTGGTACAGAGGCATGGTGTGGGGTGGCCCAAAAAAGATTTCTAACCATAAACCCAGCCAAAACTGGTTCCTTATTTGAGCCCATATACTTAGTACAGCGGGCATGGGGGAGCTGTCAGTTGGCAGCCTGGTATACACAAACCAGGAAAGACCCTTGCCAGACATGTCCAGGAGAGTCCCCGTGTGCCACAAAGGCATGGTGTAGGGTGGCCCAAGAAAGATTTCCAGACATAATCCAAGCCCGAAACCAGTTCCTTATTTGAGCCATTATACTTAGAACAGTGGCTGGGGTGCTGTCAGTTGGCAGCCTGGCATGGCCAAAGCATAGCCAGAATCCCCCGTTGGCACAGAGACATGGGGTGGAGTGTCCCAAAAAGGATTTCCAATCATAACCTCAGACCAGAAGTCAGTTCCTTATTCAAGCTATTATTTATTCAAGCCATTACTGTATTTAGTACGGTAGGCATTGGGGGCTGCCAGTTCACAGCCTAGCATGAACAATTTGTGCTGTGCACAGGGCAAGACTCTGGTCAGATGTGTCCAGGAGAGTGCCCCGGTGCCACAGAGGTATGATGTGGGGTTGCCCAAACAGGACTTCTAGCCATAATCCCATCCCAAGAGCCACTTCCTTATTCGAGCCATTACAGTTAGTACAGTGGGCACAGGGGTGTCAGTACGCAGCCTGGAACAGCTAAACCGCGCTTTGCACCGGCAGGACTGTGGTCGGGGTTCTTTGGGACAGCCTCTCAGTGACAAGAAGTTTGGGGTGGCCCACAAAGTACTTTGCCCCATAATCACGTCTTAATCTGACCTTTATTTACAGCTCTGTACTTGATGTGGGATATTATTTCACATATTAATTAGTACATATGCATAGCTAATGAAATTCTCTCTTTTTAAAGTGTGTAATTCATTAATAACTACCTTTTTTAAGTCTAGATGAATTTTGAAAAAGGAACCAACTTCAGCCTTATTAGAAACCCTGCCCTGGGGGTGGGGGCTGCTCGCAGGAATAAAGGCAATGCAGGATCATCCCCTGAGCCGACACCTCGACATCCTCATCCTTAACTCAGGAGCAGACAAACCCACCCCTGCCTTCCAGGGCATCACTAGGGGCTGGGGGTGCCCAAGGGGTGACACTCAGACCCCGAACTTGCTCAAACAGACGCGCAGAGCAAGTGTAACTAACTGCCCGTGACGCAGCTCTGGCTTCAGCCCGCCAATGCGCCTGCTGCCACCAAAGCCCGGGGCTGGGGCCTCTACCAGGATCCACCCCACAGCGCCGCTGTGGGTCGGGAAG